AGCTAGGTTAACCCAATCCTTGCCATGCATTTGAAAATCCGTGTGGTGCTAATATTTCCAAATGACTAGAAGTGGACGCAACATTCTCATCGCGTGCGTTGATCTGTTGTAAAGGTAAACAAACAAAAATGAACCCAATGTAAGTGATAAATATTTGAAGTAGATTCATCAATATATAAGACGTAGTTCAACCTACATAAAAATTGATATAACTTTCAAGTCCAAATTGATAAAAAATTTATGAGTTTTTTTATGCTCGCTTTAATTATCTCTATTTAACATTAAAATTTATACTCACATTTTAATTTTCAAACGAAAATATGATGATAAAACCGATAACAATAATGTTAAGCCTTAATTAAAAATATAAATTTTTTTGAATATAATAAAATTCAATAAAAATGCTAAATTTTATAAATAGCTTAAAACTTTATTAAACCATAATTTAGTATTTAATATTATAAACGTTAAAAGACTATTTATTATATAAAAAAACATATAATTCCACTATTAAGGTAATAAAAGTTGAAAGAATCTTCATTTCATAAATAGAAATACAATCTTTCCTAGTTACCTTATATGAAAAATCATTATAGTTCTTAAATGTTTTAACGCTAAGTTTTTATTTTTCTTTTTTTGTCTTACAAACTACACGTATTTTCCACCTAATTAATTATGTTATAACACCACAATAAACAGCTACAAAATTCTAGATACTTCTTCATGCTATCTAAATCATAAGGAAAAATTATTTATTTTTTAAAATTATTAATTTAGTTTAATTAACCTCCGATCATTATACAAAATATATTAAAGAATTTATTTTTTACAACAATTTATATACAATTATACTTTTGTACCTTTATCACATTATTCATAAGTTATTTTTATTTATTTTATTTTATATTTCCTTTTCTTTAAATGTGTAGGACTAGAAACAAAATCCACAAAACTTATGTACGAAATCAAATTTACATATTAATAATAGGATAATGATATTTTGACAATATTTTTTTGATAATATTTTAATATTGTTTGCGTGTCATTTTGTGATTGGTCTATATTAGTGTTTATGATTATTATTATTGATTGTAAAATAATTTTGAATCAAATTGTGAAAGTATTATTATCCTTAAGTGTATATAAAGTAAGAGTTTTGTCATATTCTTACATTTGGAGATCACGTAAGATAAAAGAAAAAAAGAAGAAGAAACATTTAATATGTCATTAAATGAACAAATAAAGTTTTTATAATAAATATAAGAACTCTTGTTTAGTTCAAATATACATTTTTTCATGTTTCTTACATTATCTATCTTCTCTAGTGATACATACAAGAATCTGATATGGCTTCTTTCACTACTTCACCTTCACTGGTTGGGAAGAAGAAGGTTTTGTTCATAATGGGTGCAACCGGCTCAGGCAAGACCAAACTCTCCATCAGTTTGGCCATGCAATTTCCCTCTGAAATCATCAACTCCGACAAAATCCAAGTTTATAAGGGTCTCGACATCATCACCAACAAGGTTTCAGAGTCTCAACGTTCTGGCATTCCTCATCACCTTCTTGCCATCATTGACGACCCTGATTACGATTTCACCATTGATGACTTCTGCAACCATGTCCTTCACGCTCTTGATATCATCGTTCAAAACGGACACCTACCCATTATCGTGGGTGGCTCCAACACTTACCTCACAGCCTTGCTTGAGGACCCTGACGTTGCTTTTCGATCCAAATATGATTGTTGTTTCATCTGGGTCGATGTGTCGTTACCGGTGCTGTTTCCGTATCTGGACAAAAGGGTGGACGAAATGGTTGATGCAGGAGTTGTGGATGAGATTCGAGAAGCTTTTGTTGCTGGAGCAGATTGCAGTCGTGGGATTAGAAGAGCCATTGGAGTTCCTGAGCTTGGAGAGTTTTTCCTTCTGGAGAAGGAAATAGACGATGAGGCTCAGAAGGAGAAGATGCTACAACATGCTATTATGAAAACCAAAGAGAACACTCATAAGTTGGCTGAGAGACAACTCTCGAAGATCCGAAACATGAACCATGACTTCAAAATGTTCATAATAGATTCCACACAAGTGTTTGAGGCTGTTTTGAATGGAGTGAATTATGAGCAATTGTACGAGGAGATCGTGTTCAAACCATGCATGGAGATAGTGAAGCAATTTCTAGAAGAGACAACTGATGTGAACAAGACACATCTCGAACTGGTGAACAAGCCGTAGTTTGTGTTTAACAAAATCGCTTATTTGATTAAGGACCATGTTAATGGAGTTAGTAATAAATAATAAAAGAAAAAAAATATAAAGGCAAAATTAATTAGATAGTACGTATGGTGAAAGATAAATTATGATCTATGATATTTGCTTTTATGTTTTTTTTTTTCTTATCCTTTACAAGTCCTGTCTACTCATGGTAATGGGTAGTATTATGAATAAAATAAGTTTTTGTTTTTTCAAATATGCATTTTATGAATTCTTTTTTAGTATTTTATCTTATTTTAGGCTATTATTTATGAACAGATATTTCATGAGTAAATAATAAATAAATTGACCATTATGAGAAACACGTGTAAACAATATTAATCAATCAATTTAAATATAGTAAGTGATTTTGTAGTTTTAGATTAAAAGTCTTAATGATGATATTTTATTTGTTGAAGTAGTATAAATTTTATATCTTCGATATATACATGCATATTAAATTAATATTTAAATGTGTTTACATTTTAATTAATTTTAAATTAAATGTAGTGAAGTTGTTCATATTTAAAGAAATGTATTAATATATTAAATAAAAGTCTTAAAGTACTTTTTATGAGTTTGGATATATACTAAATTCATATTTAAATATGTTTAAGTTTCAATTAATTTTAAATAAAAAAAATAGTGAAAGTGTTACCTATCTATCTATATCTATATATATAAACTAACATTTTAATTTAATAATTATAAATGAGTAACAGAGAAATCCTTAAATAAAGTAAGATCTTGAAAAACTTTCTTATAAAAAATCATCGGATGCTAAAACTTCAAATTTGTTAACTGTTGATGAAGCTCAAAACTAAACTTTTAAATCATTACTTCCTTCATCAACTATCTCTAATGTCACCATAAACTTAGTTCTCAAGAGAAAAATGGTGGGCAGGGCGGACTTTGCAATATTAACAAAGTAAAATCTAAATACTTAATCTTTTACACATTAATGCATTTTATGTAAGTGTTTGACAAAACATTTGAAAGAAAATTTCTCATTATGCTCGGAGAAAAGAAGCTTCTGATACAAGAGGATGAAGGCTTGAATATATTAAGGAATTCAAACAAGATTCAAAGATATATCTCAGAATAATATCATTTTAAAAAATATAATTAATAAGATACACTGTTTACCGATATAATAAACTTATTAATAATTTTTCATATTCACCTCTACAATGTTGTTTGCGCATTAATTGAGAGGATAAAAATTGCATATTAATACAATGTTGTTTTCAAATTAATATCTTATCCACTTTTGGTTATATTTATGTTGTGTTGTGCCATATTACATATAATTTTAGGGAATGCTGCATAAAAGGTTTTAGTTTTCTTTTTCCTGTTAAATGACGGAAGGTGGATAATCGTTTGCTAATTGCTTTTTTTAGTTCTCAAAATTTGTGGTTTGTTTAGTGTGCAAGTAAGCTCCACTCCCCTTTCAACCTCCCCATTTTTTTTCCAGTGCAAAAGAAGTGAGACCTGATATGTGATAGTGGTATCAGTGATAAAGTGCCATTCTTCTTATTTTGTTACATGTTTAGGCAGCTCAACCTCAAAATTTCCCTTAGAGGACAGGGAGTTCATATTTATATCTTTTGGTTTTCATTTCTTTCGGGATGTACTTGTAGGGTTTATGGTCTGTTTTTAACATTGAGTATTATTAATTCTTAGATTATTTGTCTGTGTCGCTCAAATGCTTATGTCATGTTTTGTAGTCGAAAGAGTGTTGAGTTGAGTCTTCTAATATAGTCTAAGAGTACTTGTTACAAATATTCAAATACTAAAATAAGTAAATGATTGGACTAATAGTATTAATACAATAATATATGTATATGAAAGTCATACCTTAAAGTTTTAATTATAATAGTTGTTATGAATTTTTATCTTTTTGTCAGTTTAATCATAATTAAATCATACATTAATCGATATTAACAGGTTGATTTGTCATTACCACTATTAATCTGATCATTTTGTAATTGATCAATTATATTGTTCGGTCAAAATGGTCACTCATAGATAGTATGTCCAAGAAATCAATCTAAAATGATTGGCAAAAAAACTTTACCCATAATAGTCAATAAAAAATTGTCAGTCAAAGAAACTTAGTTTAAAGAAATTCAGTCCAAAATAATCGATCTAAAAAAGTTCAAGGTAAAATAACCAAGGAACTCAGTTCAAATAATCAATCTTGAAATTAAATCGTTTGATTAATGATTAACTGTATGATTCTATTAACCATACGGTAGAATGTATATCTCTTCTATTGGTCTCTTTGATTTTAGGGAAGAATTCAATTCTGAGTAAAGTCCAGTTATAACTCCTCCCACTACGTTAGTGTCTCACATTTTCTCTAACGTAGTTGTCAATACCTCTTCTGTAATTAAAACATAGTTGATAAAAATAGCATCCTTAAATACTTAATTTAGTAAGTCCATTTTATACTTTACTCCTTTTGAAGAATCGAAAATTAATTATGCGAAGATAAGTAGTTAATAAAGATCTCTTTGTAAATAATTTCAATAAACATTCATACAAAAATAAACTTCTTTCTTAAGTTGAAATTAACTTATAATTTTAAGTTATGAAAGAAACTTTTCTTATTTTCTGATTTAAAACATCTGATTTTCATTTCAAGTTTGAAATGGAATTCGGGCGATAAATCACAGCACCAGTGTTTTTTGTTCTTAAGTATTACTATGATCACATATTTCTATTATCATCATGAACCAGTAAAAAAAGGCCAAAACAGGGTCTCAATTATAGTTTCCCTACCACACATTATTAAACATAAAGCTGCTTGAAATTATTAGCTCTAGGTTATCATTCTTCGTTTTAACTCTCAAGCTGAGTAAAACGCTTGATTACAGACCAAAAGTAACGAATGAGCTTTAGACCTTAGATGGAATGTTGGCTTCACCCTCCTTCTTGCTCTTGTCAGATTCAAACTTATCAATTGCTACCTGCAGTTCATCGCGTCGAATAGCCCACCTGGTGTAGAAGTCGGCAGCAAAGACAGAAGCCATCAAACCCACAGCAACTACCGAATTCTTTGCCTTGGGTGGAAAGAACCTAAATCCTAAAAGTCCAGCCATCTAGGTCAATGGAGAAAAAAAGGGTTACCATAATTTCGCACAATATAATTACCTTTTGTTGATGCAAGTGGACAAAATACATAAGAACAATAAATAAATTAAAAGATTCTACATTGTGATGCTGAGGGGAATGCAAACAAACAAGAAGTAAACATTTCCACAAACAAATCGAGAAAGAAGCTGCTGCTGACGCCCTCGCCAATGTCGAGAACAAGCACAGCGATGAACGGAGCATGCTAACGATACCAAAAACACAATGATCGAGAACAAGTTAAAGTGAGTATTTCCACAGACAGACTTACGGCAATGAGATTGATATAGTCGTAGAAGAGAGTGTTTTGCTTCGGAGTGTTTTGCTTCGACATATTTATCTGATTTCCAGAAAGCTTTTGAAATGCCCTAAAAGTAACCTGAAGACATGAATGTAAGAAATTTAATTGAAAAACATGAAACGAACATTGCACGACACAAACAAAAAATTTAAATATTTCATCAATCAGACAAAACAATTGCAGTAAAAGAACAAAGTATTTCGCCTTCGCTTCCTTCGGGTCCCGCGGCGCCTTCCAGCTTCCGAGGAAGGAGTTCGGGGGGAGGAACTTGTGGTTCTCCTCTCCAGCTGCTGTGTGACGCCCTCGCCGACGTCGAAAACGAGCGGAGCGATGAACGGAGCATGCAAATCACGCCGAAAATACAACCATCGAGAACGAGTTTAAGAGAGCATTTTCACAAACAGGATGAGGGCAACGTGATTGAACGATTTGTAAAACAGATTGTTTTGTTTTGCTATTAAATTTGCATTATATGATATGATATGCATTACTAATTGAGAAATCAAGCGAAGAAATCAAAGAGAAAGATTGTGAATTACCTTACTCAACGCAACACATGTGAACACAAATCAGATAAAGAACTCTTTCAATTTTGTAATCTCAAATATGTGTTATTGATTTTATACATTTAAATAAACTGTAATTGAAAAAAAGAAACTGCCCTTCCCCCATTTTCGGGCAATATCTTAACAGAAGTTAGGTAAGATTTAACTACCTCAATTTCTAAATAATATATCAGCATAACACCATTATTTAAACTTAAAATAAAACAATAAATAAATCTATATAAAAATCCTTCTAAGTGTTGCGTGCAAACAAAATTCTATATAAAATAAAATAAAAAATGTATATAAATTTAAATACCCATAAAATATCATAGGCTTTTTGAAATGAAAACAAAAATAAATTCATAGAAACATAAAAAACCTTTTAAAGTGATACCAAAAAGTTTGACCCAAAACAGACAATAACACCGCAGTTACCNATAATTATAAATGAGTAACAGAGAAATCCTTAAATAAAGTAAGATCTTGAAAAACTTTCTTATAAAAAATCATCGGATGCTAAAACTTCAAATTTGTTAACTGTTGATGAAGCTCAAAACTAAACTTTTAAATCATTACTTCCTTCATCAACTATCTCTAATGTCACCATAAACTTAGTTCTCAAGAGAAAAATGGTGGGCAGGGCGGACTTTGCAATATTAACAAAGTAAAATCTAAATACTTAATCTTTTACACATTAATGCATTTTATGTAAGTGTTTGACAAAACATTTGAAAGAAAATTTCTCATTATGCTCGGAGAAAAGAAGCTTCTGATACAAGAGGATGAAGGCTTGAATATATTAAGGAATTCAAACAAGATTCAAAGATATATCTCAGAATAATATCATTTTAAAAAATATAATTAATAAGATACACTGTTTACCGATATAATAAACTTATTAATAATTTTTCATATTCACCTCTACAATGTTGTTTGCACATTAAATGAGAGGATAAAAATTGCATATTAATACAATGTTGTTTTCAAATTAATATCTTATCCACTTTTGGTTATATTTATGTTGTGTTGTGCCATATTACATATAATTTTAGGGAATGCTGCATAAAAGGTTTTAGTTTTCTTTTTCCTGTTAAATGACGGAAGGTGGATAATCGTTTGCTAATTGCTTTTTTTAGTTCTCAAAATTTGTGGTTTGTTTAGTGTGCAAGTAAGCTCCACTCCCCTTTCAACCTCCCCATTTTTTTTCCAGTGCAAAAGAAGTGAGACCTGATATGTGATAGTGGTATCAGTGATAAAGTGCCATTCTTCTTATTTTGTTACATGTTTAGGCAGCTCAACCTCAAAATTTCCCTTAGAGGACAGGGAGTTCATATTTATATCTTTTGGTTTTCATTTCTTTCGGGATGTACTTGTAGGGTTTATGGTCAGTTTTTAACATTGAGTATTATTAATTCTTAGATTATTTGTCTGTGTCGCTCAAATGCTTATGTCATGTTTTGTAGTCGAAAGAGTGTTGAGTTGAGTCTTCTAATATAGTCTAAGAGTACTTGTTACAAATATTCAAATACTAAAATAAGTAAATGATTGGACTAATAGTATTAATACAATAATATATGTATATGAAAGTCATACCTTAAAGTTTTAATTATAATAGTTGTTATGAATTTTTATCTTTTTGTCAGTTTAATCATAATTAAATCATACATTAATCGATATTAACAGGTTGATTTGTCATTACCACTATTAATCTGATCATTTTGTAATTGATCAATTATATTGTTCGGTCAAAATGGTCACTCATAGATAGTATGTCCAAGAAATCAATCTAAAATGATTGGCAAAAAAACTTTACCCATAATAGTCAATAAAAAATTGTCAGTCAAAGAAACTTAGTTTAAAGAAATTCAGTCCAAAATAATCGATCTAAAAAAGTTCAAGGTAAAATAACCAAGGAACTCAGTTCAAATAATCAATCTTGAAATTAAATCGTTTGATTAATGATTAACTGTATGATTCTATTAACCATACGGTAGAATGTATATCTCTTCTATTGGTCTCTTTGATTTTAGGGAAGAATTCAATTCTGAGTAAAGTCCAGTTATAACTCCTCCCACTACGTTAGTGTCTCACATTTTCTCTAACGTAGTTGTCAATACCTCTTCTGTAATTAAAACATAGTTGATAAAAATAGCATCCTTAAATACTTAATTTAGTAAGTCCATTTTATACTTTACTCCTTTTGAAGAATCGAAAATTAATTATGCGAAGATAAGTAGTTAATAAAGATCTCTTTGTAAATAATTTCAATAAACATTCATACAAAAATAAACTTCTTTCTTAAGTTGAAATTAACTTATAATTTTAAGTTATGAAAGAAACTTTTCTTATTTTCTGATTTAAAACATCTGATTTTCATTTCAAGTTTGAAATGGAATTCGGGCGATAAATCACAGCACCAGTGTTTTTTGTTCTTAAGTATTACTATGATCACATATTTCTATTATCATCATGAACCAGTAAAAAAAGGCCAAAACAGGGTCTCAATTATAGTTTCCCTACCACACATTATTAAACATAAAGCTGCTTGAAATTATTAGCTCTAGGTTATCATTCTTCGTTTTAACTCTCAAGCTGAGTAAAACGCTTGATTACAGACCAAAAGTAACGAATGAGCTTTAGACCTTAGATGGAATGTTGGCTTCACCCTCCTTCTTGCTCTTGTCAGATTCAAACTTATCAATTGCTACCTGCAGTTCATCGCGTCGAATAGCCCACCTGGTGTAGAAGTCGGCAGCAAAGACAGAAGCCATCAAACCCACAGCAACTACCGAATTCTTTGCCTTGGGTGGAAAGAACCTAAATCCTAAAAGTCCAGCCATCTAGGTCAATGGAGAAAAAAAGGGTTAACATAATTTCGCACAATATAATTACCTTTTGTTGATGCAAGTGGACAAAATACATAAGAACAATAAATAAATTAAAAGATTCTACATTGTGATGCTGAGGGGAATGCAAACAAACAAGAAGTAAACATTTCCACAAACAAATCGAGAAAGAAGCTGCTGATGACGCCCTCGCCAATGTCGAGAACAAGCACAGCGATGAACGGAGCATGCTAACGATACCAAAAACACAATGATCGAGAACAAGTTAAAGTGAGTATTTCCACAGACAGACTTACGGCAATGAGATTGATATAGTCGTAGAAGAGAGTGTTTTGCTTCGGAGTGTTTTGCTTCGACATATTTATCTGATTTCCAGAAAGCTTTTGAAATGCCCTAAAAGTAACCTGAAGACATGAATGTAAGAAATTTAATTGAAAAACATGAAACGAACATTGCACGACACAAACAAAAAATTTAAATATTTCATCAATCAGACAAAACAATTGCAGTAAAAGAACAAAGTATTTCGCCTTCGCTTCCTTCGGGTCCCGCGGCGCCTTCCAGCTTCCGAGGAAGGAGTTCGGGGGGAGGAACTTGTGGTTCTCCTCTCCAGCTGCTGTGTGACGCCCTCGCCGACGTCGAAAACGAGCGGAGCGATGAACGGAGCATGCAAATCACGCCGAAAATACAACCATCGAGAACGAGTTTAAGAGAGCATTTTCACAAACAGGATGAGGGCAACGTGATTGAACGATTTGTAAAACAGATTGTTTTGTTTTGCTATTAAATTTGCATTATATGATATGATATGCATTAATAATTGAGAAATCAAGCGAAGAAATCAAAGAGAAAGATTGTGAATTACCTTACTCAACGCAACACATGTGAACACAAATCAGATAAAGAACTCTTTCAATTTTGTAATCTCAAATATGTGTTATTGATTTTATACATTTAAATAAACTGTAATTGAAAAAAAGAAACTGCCCTTCCCCCATTTTCGGGCAATATCTTAACAGAAGTTAGGTAAGATTTAACTACCTCAATTTCTAAATAATATATCAGCATAACACCATTATTTAAACTTAAAATAAAACAATAAATAAATCTATATAAAAATCCTTCTAAGTGTTGCGTGCAAACAAAATTCTATATAAAATAAAATAAAAAATGTATATAAATTTAAATACCCATAAAATATCATAGGCTTTTTGAAATGAAAACAAAAATAAATTCATAGAAACATAAAAAACCTTTTAAAGTGATACCAAAAAGTTTGACCCAAAACAGACAATAACACCGCAGTTACCCATTCAAGAGAATCTTTCAATTTCAATTATATGATATGAATCATTAACAATATCAAAATTTGCAGAAAGGATGAAGGCAAAGAAAGAGGGAGCGAAAGCGAATTCGCATTACCTTACAGAACAAAAGAAGATCCTCCGATTCACTTCACTTCTTTGGATACTCTTCCTTTTGTGAAGATGAAAAAGAGCGCTGAACACACCTTCGTGAATGTATTTAACTATATAAAGCCTAATCTAAAATATATTTTAAATACTTAAATTAGTAAGTCCATTTTATACTTTAAATTTCTTT